ATCTTTGCAGGTTAGTCTAACCTGGCTAGGCTAAACCAGTTTGTAACTGTGCAGATATCCGAGACATGCAGACACATGCCTGCAGTGGCTCAGGCTAGAAGCCAAGGGGAGCCAGAGCAGGCCTCCCTTCCCTTCCACATTATGGAGCTGAGGGGGGCATGGCCAGCCCCGGCAGGATGTTCTGATTAGGGAGGGGTTCCCCCCCACCAGCCCAGGTGGAAATTAATAACACAATGTTTATCACCCCTAACTCAATTTATCACCCCATTAAGAAAACAGAGGGACATTACCAGCTACCTGTTGAGTCTACTTTTGTCCTGTCTGTCACCACATGGACTGTAACCAGCATGTGGTCTGCTAGCTAATGCTAAGAGGTGCCAGTGTAAGGTAGAGAGGATGGGGAGGGGAGCGGGGGAGCCAGGCAGATGCCTGCAGTCTCTGATGAGCTCCAGCCAGGGAGCAGAGGGGAGGGGCTAGCCCTTCTGTGGAGCAGAGAGCCTCACCCAGCCAAGAGAGCATGCCCAGATGCGGGCCTGGGACAGACATTGTATAAACCAGTTTGACCCAAATCAGTTAAGTCTGATACTACATTCAACCAGGTTTGTCTCAAACCAGTTTCAGCCATTTTCAAACTGGTTTATGTGCACTGAACATCTGTTCTGTTACAGGTTTAAACCAGTTTCTGATCACTTACACCAGTTTTTGTGTAATGTCTGTCCCTAGACATGGACCTCCCAGAAAGAAAAAAAAATGACAGTGCTTTGGAGAGCATTTTAAAAGGCCCAAATTAGCTAGAAAACATTTCATGCTATAGTAAAAACTCCACTTTCTCTTTTTTAAGATTTAAAATACGTTCCCTCCCCATCCCCTACCATTTCTGACTTTCTTTCTGAAACTCTCTATTCCTTGTAAGTAGTTATAAGTAGTCATAGATAAGCTAAGATAAGTTCTTGTATGCCATTATTGTGACAAGCCCCTTTTTATATTCTAAATAGTGTTCTGGTATTTTTTGTATTCATTTTTACTGTTTTATATTGTATTCCTATTATATTTGTATTGGCTTTTATTGTTTTACATTGATATTGTATGATTTAGGCCTGTTCCTGTAAGTTAACCTATGTCATGTCAACCTCCATCTTGTAATGTCAAGTCTCCATTTTGTGTCCCCTGCCTGGGCATACCCTATTGTAAGTGTGTTGCAACTATGACTCTCACTTACCCCTCCTATGCATATTGATTCCGGGGTGAATGAGAATGAGTGAGGGTACTTGAGACATAATGGTAGCAGGCCTGAAAATAGCTCCTGCTAAATGACCAGACCATCAACTCAATGACTGGACCATCAGCTCAGTGACTGGATCACCACCTTGCATTGACTTTCCCTAAAACCACACACCTACTCCCAGGACCCAATATCTGAAAAATGAAGACCTCCAAGGAACCAGCAACATGGAAACAAAGAACAGAATAGAAACCAGGGGTTTAGGTTGTAGCCGTGTTGGTCTAAGGATATAGGCAGACAAGGTTCCTTGGGTGAATAGAAACCAGACACTCCACCATAGTATCTCACTGGACAATGAGGACACCTGGAACTCTTTGCCCCCACCTCTGACCCAACCTCGTGTTTAACTCCCATCCCTCTGCTCCCCATTCCAGCTCTCTGCCACCTTGGGCCCCGACTCCAGCTGTCCCTCTATGACCCAGCTTCTCTGTCAGCTTCCTGCTCCCCCAGCTCACCACTGCTCCATCACCTCTACCTCTTCTGACCTCCTGGCTTTGCTCCATCACCCCCACCTCCCACCTTCCAGCTTTCTTTCCCCAGCTCTTATTTTCCTCCATCTCCCAGCTCTCTACCCCGGCTTTCCCCACCACCAATCCAGCTTCTCTGCCAGCTCTTCCCCCCTGCCCCAACCAGCTTCCTACCTCCACCTCTACTGCCTCCACTCTCCCAGCTCCACGGCCAGCTCTTCAGGTTCCATCTTCACTGTGTCATCTGCCTGGGGACCCAAGTGCCACCTAGTCACCAAGCACCCAAATTACCCCTAAGTGCCCCCTACTGTTAACACACACAGCCACTGAAGTGCCTGTTTGCATGTGTGTATATGTGCATGTGTGTGGACCCATGGCGTCATTTGTGCAGTTTGTATGTGAATGTATAATTTTGTGTCATGCCCTCCTGCCTAACAGCACAATATTGAGATCCCAAGCATTGATCTGATGCATGTCAAGTCAACAATGCCATCTTGTTTGGCAAAACAAGATCAATTCTGCTTTCTGCCCCAAATTTTCTTATTGTGCACTCCCTTCCAGTTTTGCCAACTGTCCATGTAGCCTTGACAGCATGTTTTATATTTTAATCCCTTAAATGCCAATTATTATTATAATGAAAATTAAATCTGCAATTACACAATTTCTCCCACAAATGCCCCGAGAGCTTGTGTATCCCCAGGGGTATTAGCACCACAGTTTGGGAACTCCCATGGGCAACTGGTGTCACCTTAGTCAGGGGGTACATGCCCCCCCAGTGACAAGTCAGTGACTGGGGCGGGGAGGGGGAGGGAGGGGGGGCTGCGCCACGGCAAAACTCACTGACTGGGAAGCAACCGGGTGCTCGCAAGGGGAGGCACCGGTGCTTCTGCCTGCCTCCCCTGCCCCTTGCCTAAGTGGGGAGTGTGGCCTGTTAGGGGGTGCACCAGCACTCTCAGGGGGTGCATGTGCACCCACTACGTATTGCCACTGGGAACTCCTGCTCTAGGCTTTGAGAAGTCTGGTCCTGTTCACATGCAGTTGTGAGCCAAATCTATCCAATATCTGTTGACACCACTTGGGAATTGAGTGTACTTTACTGAAAATAAAATTTAGCTTATCAGCATTTTAAAATTATAGTTCTTATTAATTTCTGAAACAGCATTTAAGTACATTTTTTCCTCACCATAAGAATGCAATTATGGCTGAGTTCACAGTTCATCTCACTTACATCTGCAAATTGGTTGGTGATAATGAGTTTGTGTGTTTTAGAATGTTATACAAAAGATACTATAGAAACTTGTTTATTAAAATATAAAATCAACAAAAAGCACAATGTTCCAATTTGAAAAAAGGCTCCTTTCCTTTACTGTGCCTAATCACTAGTACCTTACAAATACAAAACAAAAAGCTCTATATTATGAGATCCAAAATGTCACAAGAATGTCTTCATGATAACACTAGTATGCTTGTCATAAGCACTGTGAATCCTTACCTTGTGGAGGTTAAAGGGGAAGAAACAACAACACCATTTTCTGTACTAACATTAGCATAAGCTTGGGAAAATGAATTCGTATTTTTGTGGCAGTCCTTTTGTAATATTGACAAGAGGACAGCCACGACAGGACAAAGTCACTAACAAAAAGGGTTCCTCCCATCATAGCATGAGCATATAAAATTTAGCAGCTCGAAATTAATGCAGACTCAGCCCTGTACAGAAAGAGAGATCCTAGGCATATAGATAGACATGGAAGATTGCATAAAGGCAGAGCTTGAATATTTTGGAAAATTCCCCAAGATCGCAGATTCTTGCTGGTATCTTTGGCTTATGATCACTGCAAAGAAAATCAATTTTGTTTTGAAAACATAAAACAGATTGTATTCAAAGCTTCAAATGTCTGAGGACCATATAAACCAGATTTCTAAAGGAGTATAAGTGCTGCATCTCAATTTTTTTTAACCCACCTGTTTATCCGGATAGAGATTTGGTTATTCTTTTTACAGTTCTTAAATTAGTGCCCTCTTGTGTCCCTGCACCACAAACTGGAACTCCTGCTGTTGCTAATTTTGTGAAGCAATTGGAGAGCATCTAGAATGCATATTTATACTTCTATGTCTAAGTACTCTATCAGATTTGCAAAAAAGCCTTTCCAGTTGCATAAGAATCTTTACAGAACTATTTAGTCTCTGATCAGAAATAAAATCCTGACTCATCAACAAATGGAAAAGGTATTCAGTCTTAATACAAGAGAGCTATTACAAAACGTCTTTCAGATTAGTGAAATAGTTTAGACAAGAGCCCTCCCCTAGACTGCCTTAAAAACTACTCTGACAAAATAATGTGGAAGTGGAAATCAAATAAATGGACCAATTCAGAATCAATAAATGCAGTGGGTAATTAATTATTGAAGTCATACATTACTTTACAGCTACTAATGGAAGGCCTCTATATAATTTAAGACAATATTTTCAGCTCTTTTGAGACTCGTCTAATTTCAAGCCCATTATACACCTTTTGTAAGGGGCGGGGAGGGGAGGAAGAGTACTAAAACTCCCAGACCATCTTTTATCCTTTTTTCAGTCAGAAAACTTACTGAAATCATCACTGAATGGATCTTACTAGTCACCTTGACAGGACCTTATTCTGTACCAAGTAAAGGGGAAAAAAAAAATTACAGATTCCAAAGCTCAGATGGACACACAGAATATTGGAGAGGAAAAAGAGAACATCAAGCAACATATACTAATAAGGAAGCTACCTTTTCATTCTCTGCAAATTTCAGTCTATTTCCTATGCTCAGTTCTTCCTCCCATCTCCTCCAAAGCTCATTACAGACAAAGTTAATCAGACCCCTTGTCAGCAACAAAAAGGCAACATTATGCAATATATAAATTGTCTTGCAGCTTTACAGAAACAGTAATTTAAGGAGTTTCTCATCACTGAAGTAAAGATACAGCTTCATCTTTCTTACACAATATATCCAACCTGTCCCATCTCAGCATTATTGCTTATGTCAAAATATGCTTCGAATCAGCAAAATTTTAATGTACCAGAAGAAAAACATCCTATTCTGCTCAGTCCTCCTCATAGTCTGTTTAGTCCCTACTGCCTGAAGGAAAATCTCTTGAATGCAAACAATCAACCTCAATAAAGATTTGCCTGTCCGGGTCAGGGTGTGGAGTCAGCACCCAGTTTGCAGCTATTTTCCAGCTAAAGTAAACCTAAGGTACCTTTTGTGATCATTGGCACTTACTCTGGAGATGGTCAAAGGCATGTTGAAGTCCTTTCCACCCTGCAGTCGGAAACCCCATGGTCCAGGTCCATTGAGAGTCACATTGTAAGACATTTTGGAAATCTCTTACACCAACCACCAAGGCTCTAAAGGACAGGGAAGAGGGGGGCGGGGGTGGAGGAATAGAAGAAAGTGTTAAAAATAAATAAAATCAAATCAATAGAAAAACCACTAAATGTAAAAATAAAGAAAGCACAATAATTGTCTCTTTTTGCCTTGCCTGCTCAGTCCTGC